CTGAAGTTTTTTGTTCAATGATAGTGACTTTTAAATCTGTAATAGAATGACCAGGGAGATTGAAGTGTTCACTTACTAGTATATAATGCCTGCATCTGTAACTTTCACTCTATGCATCCGAAGAAGTGAGGTTTTTACTCACGAAAGCTTATGCCCAAATAAATCTGTTAGTCTTTAAGGTGCCACCAGACTCCTTGTTGTTTTTGTAGATACAGACTAACACGGCTACCCCCGATACATGAGTTTTCAAAGATAATGGCCAATGGCTCCGCAATCACATCCGCCAACTCCTTTAGCACCCTCGGATGCAGCGCATCCGGCCCCATGGACTTGTGCTCGTCCAGTTTTTCTAAATAGTCCCGAACCACTTCTTTCTCCACAGAGGGCTGGTCACCTTCTCCCCATACTGTGCTGCCCAGTGCAGCAGTCTGGGAGCTGACCTTGTTTGTGAAGACAGAGGCAAAAAAAGCATTGAGTACATTAGCTTTTTCCACATCCTCTGTCACTAGGTTGCCTCCCTCATTCAGTAAGGGGCCCACACTTTCCTTGACTTACTTCTTGTTGCTAACATACCTGAAGAAACCCTTCTTGTTACTCTTAACATCCCTGGCTAGCTGCTTATTAGATGAAAATGAAAATAATTGGTCAAGAAGGTATTTTCATTTTAAAAAGTTGCCAGAATTTTTAACTAACTCGAATCGTGGCCTTTAAACATTTACCATGCTTATTTGCACTCAAGGGAGATGTTTGATTTATTGTAAACAAGATTTTGATCAAGTTTGGTTGGTATTGATCATGTAGGTTATAGATTGGATGGACCTGTACTGTGGTAGTTGTCTCCCATGGGAATGAGAGATGGGGCAAGAAGCAAATGCAGGATTGTTCCTCTAATGACTTTGTCCAATCTAATTTTAAGATAATCAAATACAACTCACATTTGGAAGGTGTAATATCAAATACCCAGTCCTGGGTTGGTAAAAGTGAGGGGCTTTTTGTGGGAGGGAAGGGGGGTGGGATGGGGGAACGAGAGCCACACGGCAATAAAGTTTGATTGGGAAAAGGAAAGGTAAATTTTAAGGGGGGGAAAAAAAAACACAAAACAATAGTGAGAGAGGAGATCTCCCCACAATATGGCCATTGGCTTAGAGTGGAAAATGAATTAAACGGTGATGCGGGAGGTGTGTGTGGGGGATAACTGAGGGGTCTTAGACCCACCCCAGGAAAGAGAGTGGGGGCAATCATTTAAATAAAGTTATGCAAGCCTGTCATCAGTTTAGGGATGCCGGCATGCATGAAAGCATTAGACATTCTAAGGCTACATCTACACTACGGGGAGGGTCGATTTAAGATACGCAAATTCAGCTACGCGAATAGCGTAGCTGAATTCGACGTATCGCAGCCAACTTACCCCGCTGTAGGGACGGCGGCAAAATCGACCTCTGCGGCTTCCCGTCGACGGCGCTTACTCCCACTTCCGCTGGTGGAGTAAGAGCGTCGATTCGGGGATCGATTGTCGCGTCCCGTTGGGACGCGATAAATCGATCCCCGAGAGGTCGATTTCTACCCGCCGATTCAGGCGGGTAGTGTAGACCCAGCCTAAGTGACTGTCCCAGCATTGCTGGGGGAGTGGGCACAAAATAACTTTACACACTTAGGGCCCTAATAGAAAAAACCCTGATTTTAGAATGGAGGCTTCCTTTCCCTTCTCTCCTGCAAGGGCAGCCATAGAAGAACACAGGTGGGATTATTCTTGGTATGCTGTTTAGCCACGAGATGGCACCAAACTGCAGCGAGAGGAAGCTGATTACTATGCAGATATGCGTGCATGTAGTGTAATGTGAGCACCCATTGGTCTGGCTCGATCTTTGTCAGACAGGAAAGGATGTAGGTTCCTGACAAGCTCTGGGCAGAAGGTATTTGTCCAGGATTAGTGGTGAGTCCCATACCCCTCCCTCCCTGTGATGAGCAGAGGGCACATGCCCTTGATGGAGAGAGGCTAGAGAAGAGATCTCAGCCAGCTCCTCTAGCAGTCTCTCCTCTTCCCAGCAGCATTATTCCAAGCTAAGCCAACTGTATATTCCTTTTTCAGGTACTGTGACAACATTTGCTAAGGAGATGTTACGCGGCATCAGCCTGTATTTGTGGGCAGTCAAGGTAGGGTCATCTCAGCCTCTTCGAGATGCCTCAGCTATTGCAGAGG